TTACAGATATATGGAGAAACATACGTGCAATACACTTGCAGTATATTAAGATATTTCACAGTCTTACAACTCTAGAGGAAATTCTTAAACAAAGGCAATTTAAGAATGTTAGTGTTTTTAATTGTTCAAAAAACCCCATCTTATAATTGGCAATATTATTATGGCATACTAAGATAGATTTAGCTTGTGTCCGTCCAGCTCTACAGACGACTGATCAATCAGAAGCAACAACAGAAGGACTGACACTGAAGATCTGTTTTAGGAAGCTGTTTTCCTAAATGCTGTACGCGGTTTTATAGAAGTCAGATTTGGAAAGAAGATCAGCGTATCTGCTTTGGAAAGGTATGGACCGAATCCTTTAAAGATTACATTCTTCAAATATCGTCCTACCATCTACAATCAAAGACATCTATGGAAGGAGTGTTCTTTTGACGGAACTATAAGTATCCTCATTCGAAGAGAATTAGGGTTACGCCTTTGAAAAGGAAGAAAAACACTCCACATCAGTTTTATGAGATCAGATCTTTGATTATCATGCCTCTTCTCAATACAACAAGTTCATGGTGATTAAGATGACGAACTTGAGAAGAATCACTGCTGCTTAAACGAAAGGACACTGTGATCACACTGTTGTGGGAACAACTGTAAAAGAGCGTCATTGAAGTGGATTGCATCAGAGTGGGCTCTCCAAGTGAAGGGATTTCATTGGACTTCTGTATGCATGGCTCTCCACCTTCAACAATCCACTAAACTTGTGTAGACTGGGTATGTACCTTGTGTGGGGCACTTGGGTAAGATTATTGTATATCTACCTTTGTACATTGGATTATGATTTAGTGGATTGGACGCCTATGTGATCGTCCCCCAGACGTAGATACACACTGTATCGAACTGGGTAAACATTCTGTGTCGTTGGCTTTGTGCTGTTATCTTTTCTTTAAACTTCTCTATGATTTGTTATTACTGACTGACTTCATCGCTGAATCAGTCAGTCCATTTCGTCAATTGATTAATCCAGTTAATCTGTTTAAAAAGAGAAAATTCAAAATTACAAAGAATTTCATTCATCTTCTTGTATATCATAAGTTTAAATCTTGAACCTTGTTGCTTTTTTCCGAGAGAGATTTAAAACTTATATGAAAGTGATTACACGTTTAAAATCTCATTCCTCACCACCCTCACACCAATCACCAGGGGCGGATCCAATTTATTTATTTTTTCAGTGGGGGCAAAAGATTAATATAAAAGAGATAGTTTGAAAAAAAAAAAAAAAACATTTAAAAGCATAGTCATAAATATTGTTGGATATGAGCAAAAAATCAAAACACATCAAAAATTTATATAAAAAAAATATTTATACCAAAATATGAATCATAATTAGTTTGATAAAATGATTCAAATAGAAAACACATTATAAATTATACATCTCACTATTAATATAAAAGAATGTTTGCACATATTATATTTTAAAGAATAAAAATATCACTATTAATATTTCTGATTCAGTTAACGGTTAAACCTTTAAAAGCTTCGGTTAAAACGGTTTGGTTAACCGATTGCATACCCCTACATGCATTATTTCCTCAAAAAAAGTTATTTACCGAAATGGTCCCTTTACTATAGCGAAATTATCAATCCGGTCTCGTGTTAACGGATGTCTAACGGCAAAACAAGCGGAGGACAAGTTGATTAAGATTTTTTAAATTGAGGGACTTAATTGATCAAAAATAATTGTGACACCCCCGAAAATATATCCTTTAAAATGGAATTAATTATTTAATTAATTCTAAACCTTCTTTGTAAAGTCCCTTCCTAATTTCGTAATTTAATAGCCAGAAGACTTAAATTGACCAATCCCTTGGTCAATTGAATTAGTCAAAGGAAAAGACCTTGAGCTTTATATCTTGTACCTAACCTTTTGATGTCTTCCTAACTTTTTAGAAAAAAGGGAGGGCATTTTAGTCTTTTCATCCTTCCTTGGTATTCAAGCCTTACCCTAACAAGACTACATTTCATTTTCCACATTTGGCAAGAAACACTTAGCTCTCTACCTTCTCTCTAGAGGTTTAGCTTATTGTCCAAGCCAAACCAAAATCTTCCGATCCCCCAACCTTGCAAGAAACTCTCCAAGATCCTAACTTTCATCCACCAAGGCTCTAGGAATGATAAGACTTGAGCTTAGATAGTGTTTTTAGTCAGATTCTCCTTACCTTTATCTAAAGTTGTGGTTTTGTGTGATTTTGGTTGTGTTGGAAAGACCTTGTAGAAGAGGAGCTTCAAGAAGAAGTCTAAGTGGTGAAAATAAGGTGATCTTTAGGCTAGAAAGGTAACCCATGTGCTACAAAACCTATTTTATACTTGCTATCATGATTTCTTGCTACTCTATTGATGTTCTTGATGTTCATGAGTGATTTGATGCATAATCTTGTGTTTATGCATGTTTAGAGTTTGTATCTAGGGTTCATAAATGCTATTCCTTGAGCTATTCATGTGTTCAAGTCATTTCCTTGTTGAACGTGAGGTTTTGGGTGTTTTGGACTTGAACTTGGCAATGTTGATGTTTTTCCCCGAAGGGATTTGTTCTCCTGGGTACGCGTACCCGCAGGAGGAACAGCGGGTGGCTGTCCACCCGCCGTTCCACCCGTGGGTAGAAGGGCTGTGACTGGCGGGGGGTGCCGCGGGTGGAGGTCCACCCGTGGTTCCACCCGCTAGTACCTGTAAGGGATAGTGGCGGGTGGTTGTCCACCCACCGTTCCGTCCACTGGTACATGATGCTTTGGCCTCTGTTTTGTTGAATCGTTGTACACTTGTGTGTCTCCTTTGATGTTTCATACGTCTAGAACGGTGTCCTAAGTATCCATGATAGGATTATGAGTCTTGAATCGTGCTTAAGGTCCAACCTTGTGATTCGTTGGACTAATGTGAATTCGTTGATGTTCGATTGAACCGTTATGTTTATCCTCTTGATGTACATGCTAGTTATAATGTTATTGATGCTAGCATGTGTTGTTCATTTGTTCCCAATGAGGATTTGCAACTTGTGTTTCCAATCATGATAATCTTTGGATTAAAGTCTATCGTTATCTTGATTGTTGATTCATGTCTTTAATTGAAATCTATCGATTAAATCCCTTGACATGATCTTGTACATATGTTGTACCCGTTTGTTGATGCTTGATTGGGCTATTGATGAGCTTCAATCCTCTATGACAATGATTATGTGTTACTATGAGATTGATGATAATGTTATTGAGCGGTGCTCACATGTTGGCGGTATACTATTACGTGATTAGTACTAAATGATTAATGACATTACGAATGTCTACGTTCGGTGGCAAGCTGGCGGATGCAGGCGGGGAGCAAAGGCTCCAGGAGGGAAAATGTTGGACTTGGTGTACAGGGTGGCACTAGGAGGTAATGGTTGGAACTGTGATAAGGTTGGGGTAAGTCATAAGGTCGGAACATGGCATAAGGTTGGAACGTGTCATTGAATGAGATCCTTGACTTTCATTGCTTATGAACATGATTAAATGTTTTTCTTTGATTGATTACCCTATGATGTATCTTGTTGTTGAGTATGTTGCTTCTGTCATTCTTATTGATCTATTGAGTGACTGTGTGATGTCGGCCTTTGATTGAGAGTGATTCCATTGTAACTTATGTTGTTCATATTCCTCGTTTTAAAAGACTATATATTATGTATTCCAAGTCTAAAATGCTTTTCTCTATATCTATATTATATGGTACCCAACAAGTAGTGGTGGGTTACTTAGCATTATTCGCGAACGGGTGTTACCCCTTATGTTTTTCAAGTACAGAGTAGTGTCCAGAGCATGCTAGAAGAAGAAGTAGCGTAGCTTAGCCTTGTTCCTTAGTCTTTGATGTAGTGGCATGTCTGCCTAGACTTAATCCTTAAACTTAATTGTTATGTTCTAGTTTAGATAAGTACTTGACTTTAGCCTGTGCATCTAGCTTGTAGTTAGATGTGGCGTTGCACTTCTCGGTTTTGAAAATCTAGCTTCCGCACTTTAACTCTTAATGTTTAGTTTTACCTTTATTACTAAGTTTTAATTGCTTAGTTTGTGCTTAAAAACCGGGGGTGTTATAATAATAGTCAATGACCAAATTAGTAATTTTGCTATAGTTAAGGGATATTTTGGTAATTAACTCATATGTTTATAGATTAGAAATTAGGTAGGTACCAGGCGTGTTCGTTTTGGCTCCCGAGCGAGAACGATAAATAGGCGATGCACAATAGCTGACTCCTTTTCAAAAGAAAAGTCTCTATATTAAGTCAGGTGTGAATAATTGGCTTGTCTTGTCTAAGGCCGACCGTACCTAGTGCTAGAGCATGAATATCAATGGATTTTTAAGAGATATTGGTACAACACATGTACATTTGGGAGAGAGAGTGTGTGCAAGAGAGAGATGAAAGATGAATAACTGCAAGTGTGGAGTTATTTGCAAACATATGAACCCCACAGAAGAAAATGTAAAGCCTCGCACGCTATGCGTGGAGGTCATCAGTGCGTCTAGAGGATTCGTGCACTGCTTGACAGTACTTTTTATTATTATTATTATTATTATTATTATTTATTTTTTATAGAATCGTTTTTTTTTTCTTTTTTACTTTTTTCTCCCATATTCTCTTTCTTAATCATACTTACCTAAACTCTCTTTACAAAACAAAATTTAAAAAAAAAAAAAAAAAAAAAAAAAAAAACTATTGTTGATGCTCTTAGTTTGTGGCTCTTTTTCTTTACTTTGAAAGCGAGAAAGATGATATTGGAAAACGGTTAGGAGAGCGGGTACATGCTAGGGTCACGCTAGGATTTGGGAAGGACAGTCACGCGAGTGAGGTGAGTTCGAAGAGAGGGTGGATTTTGGTGCTCTAACTGGCCCCTCCTGAAATGGAAATGGAGCGGTAATGGGAACGGGACAGAAGTGATAGAAAGTCGGGGGTGGGGACGGCCCCCGCCCCGCCCTTGTTGAATATTCCCAGTCGGCTAATCCATAGCAGTAGAGAAACTTGATGGCTACTTTTCCTCTCTGCAAAAATGGAATGTACTACATCACTTTTATTTCATCTTTCCTCCAATTCTACACTGGTTTTTATCCAAAGCTTTGTGGCGCCACTTCTTGCTTCAGTTAAGAAGAAGTTTTGGATTACTGGGTAACGATGATAATTTATTGTCGATTTGAAAAGTATCCTTTGGCCTTTACATTGCAATTTTTCATGTGCTTTCTTCTTCTCTTGTCACTGTTAAGCTTCTTTTATTTTCTTTCTTCATTTTCCCCCTCAAAGATTTGGTCTTTTTCCTTGTTTTCTTGTTTTCAATCTTTCATATCTCCAAGCTTTTGAAATTTCGGGTTCCCAGTACTTCGTTCTGCATTCCATATCGCCTACTACTTCGTTTTGTGACCACTGATCAATTTGCCAATACTCCTCCGGTTCTTGATTTGATATACCTAAGTTCTGAACCGAATTTTACTTCTTGCTCTGGTCATGGGTTCAAGGGGGTTCTTGGTTTCAATGTTCATATGCCTGTTTTTCCTGTTCCTGCCCGAAAATTGTATGGCCAGCGTTCAAAATACAGGCAGGTTGGAACTGGGGTTCATAGCTTCTCAGATGTCTTGGATAGACTATAATGGAATGGTTCTGGTATCCAACAATTCGAATTTCACATTCGGGTTCCAACAAACAGAAGATGTCACTTTGTTTCTGCTTGTGGTAATGCATTGGACCTCCCAAACTCTGGTTTGGTCAGCTAATAGAGCCTCTCCAGTCCGGGGTTCTGATCACTTTCTGCTTGATGATACTGGAAATGCCTATTTGCAAAGTGGTGGATCCACGATTTGGGCGACGAATACTGGTGGCAAAGGAGTTTATGCAATGGAATTGAGGGACTCGGGGAATCTGGTTTTGGTGGGGAATGATAGTAGCATTGTTTGGCAGAGTTTCAGCCATCCTGTGGATACTCTTCTGTCTAACCAGGAGTTTATTGAAGGGATGAAGCTTGTGAGCAGTCCAAACACCAATAACTTGAGTTACTCCCTTGAAATCAAGTCTGGTGATGTGCTACTTTCTGCCAGTTTCAAACCTCCACAGCAGTATTGGGCTATGGGGAATGACAACCGAAAGACCATAAATAAGGTTGGGGGATCTGTTGTTTCTGCTATCCTCGACGCCAATTCTTGGAAATTTTATGATAAAAGCAAGGTCCTAATCTGGCAGTTCATTTTCTCGGGAATTACTGATGCAAATGCTACATGGGTGGCAGTTTTAGGAGATGATGGTTTTTTAACTTTCAGTGTTCTTGGAAGCGCTGGACCTTCCCCAATAAAAATACCAGAAGATGAGTGTGGCAGACCGGCAGCTTGTGATCTGTATTTTGTTTGTTTTAAAGGAGTCCAATGTCAATGCGCTTCATTGCTTCCGTCTTGCAAACCAGGGACTGCTTCGCTGTGCAATAAACCCGAGTCTGTAGACCTTGTTGAGGCCAGAGATAGTCTTGGTTACTCTGCTCTCGGATTTACTGTGCCCTCTTCAACGACTGATTTGAACAGCTGCAAAACCTCCTGCCTCAAGAATTGCTCATGTGTTGCCATGTTCTTTGACAACAGAACTGATCATTGTTTCCTGTTTAACCAAATCGGAAGCTTACAAGGATCAGTTAGTGCTGGTGAGTTTAGTTCCTATATTAAAGTCCTAAGTAGCCATGGAGATGGAGGGAGTGGAAAGAAACACTTGGCTGTTATCATGGTTAGTGTCATTATAACAGTACTTGTTATCCTTGGCCTAGTTTATGCAGGAATTCGTTATCACAAGAAGAAAACGGAGAAGTTACCTGAATCTCCCGAGGACAGTTCTGAAGAGGACAATGTCTTGCAGGGCTTATCAGGGATGCCTGTTCGTTTTACCTACAAAGACCTTCAAGATGCTACTAATAACTTCAGAGTTAAACTTGGACATGGCGGGTTTGGTTCAGTTTACCTAGGAGATCTTCCCGATGGGACTCAGTTGGCAGTGAAAAAGTTGGAAAGCATTGGCCAGGGAAAGAAGGAATTCCGGGCTGAAGTTAGTACAATTGGCAGTATCCATCATCTCCATCTTGTGAGGCTTAAAGGCTTTTGTGCTGAAGGAACTCACAAGCTTCTTGCTTACGAGTACATGGTGAACGGATCCTTGGATAGATGGCTTTTCCGGAATAATAATGAATTCTTGTTGGATTGGGACACGAGGTTTAGTATTGCACTGGGCACTGCTAAAGGTCTAGCTTACCTCCACGAGGAATGTGACGTAAAGATTGTGCATTGTGACATTAAGCCTGAAAACGTGCTACTTGATGATCATTTCCATGCCAAAGTCTCTGATTTTGGTCTCGCTAAGCTTATGACTCGAGAGCAAAGCCATGTGTTCACCACACTAAGGGGAACTAGGGGATATCTTGCACCAGAATGGATCAAAAGGCATGCCTTATCCGAGAAGATTGATGTTTACAGCTACGGGATGGTGCTACTCGAGATAATTGGGGGCAGGAAAAACTATGACCCATCACAAAGTTCGGAGAAATCCGACTTCCCAACCTATGCTTTCAAGAAGATGGAAGAGGGGAAGTTGAAGGATATCATTGACATGAAACTTAGAATCGATGAGAATGATGAGAGGGCCGTGAGAGCTATCAGAGTCGCCTTATGGTGCATAAAGGATGACATGTCCCTCAGACCTTCCATGACAAAGGTAGTCCAAATGCTTGAAGGCTTCTGCCCTGTATTTGAACCTATAAGTGAGGAGGGCACTTCATCTGGAGCCTCAGCACCACCGGACTGCAACAGTGATACTTATATGTCTGCTGTTCTACTATCGGGGCCAAGATAGGAATTGATACAGATACGCCCTTCTTTGATAAGTCATTTTGTATAGATTTCGAGCTGAAAAAATCCCAGACTTCCTTGCATTAGATCACTAGGAGAGTTTTGCCATACCTAGCAATAGTAAAGCTTGGAATTTCAGTAAGAACTGTTTGTCTTGTATATGAATATATCATCATGCATCAGTTGACATAATAGATAAAAAAGCCTTTGATCATTGAATTCAAGAAGTCCTTTATCACCAAACAAAACATTGAATATGAAGTTCATAACTTTTCATAGTTTGTCTGCATCTGATGAGTAGGCTGCTTTATTGCCTTCTTGATTCATTGATGATAATTGCTAAGACATGTATAAACCAGGAAGGGTGGTTGTTGGTAAAATTTATGAATACTGGTAAACATATTCAATGTTTGACTGCTATGTGATTGCTTTTCTCAGTTTCCATGGTATAAAGCTTTTTTTTTTTTTTTTTTTTTTTTTTTTTACAATGAATGACTTACTAAAAGTAGGATAACAATTTAAGTATGATGTGAATGACTTACTGTATATCTCGTTCGACTTATACTAGTTGGGTTTTTTGATGATTGAAGGTGGTGTATAGTTTTGAGTATTGTAAAAATCGTGTCTAGGTGTTGTCCAGTCGTGACGCTTTGTCATTTAGGCGTCACCTAGTCGGTCTGTCGATTAGGTGTCTAACTCGACTGACTCGTTGTCTAACTTGACTGACTCGTTGTCTACCTCGATCGACTCAGAGCTGAATCTAGCAAGTTAGCTGAGTTATTATTGTTTTTTAATTTAATTTTATTTATTTTGCAATTCATAGAGGCATATGTAATATTTTGTGTGTGTATGTATGTATGTATGTATTTATAATACGGATCAAATGGGAAAGCTTCTCAAAGTGAAAAAATAGGGTGGGATCTCAACCATTGATTAAATTCAAATCAATTGGCAGAATGAGTAAAATTTGGTAAAAACACGGGGTTGTTTGGTAAATTTATGTAAGTTAATGTTTTTTTTTTTTTTTTTTTTTAAACTTCGAGTGCATAATTTTCCTTCTTTGAATGCATATTTTTCTTTTTCAAGTGCATAATTTCTCTTTTTCCAAGTGCAAAGTTTCCTTCTTCTAGTGCACATTGTAATATGTATGTGTATATATATACTTTGAGTACATTTTCTTTCTTCTAAGTGCATATTGTAATGTTTTTTTTTTTTTTTTATTATTGTGAGTGCATAATTTTCCTTCTTCAAGACACATTTTTCTTCTTCCAATGCACACGGTAATGTGCGTGTGTGTGTGTGATTGTGTGTGGGTGTGCGTGTATATATATATATATATATATATATATATATATATATATATATATATATATATATATATTTGTATTCAAATGAAGACACCCTTTCAAATGAGGACGTGAGGACTAATTTTGACAATTTATTTTCTTTGATTTGATGGCTGTATTTTTTTTATTCATTTTCTTATTCTTTTCTTTATGTAATAATTGTATTTCTGACAATTTATATGGATATTTAATTGTAAATATTATATTTTCGATAAGTTATGCATATTTTTAGGGATGAATTTAAGGTAACTTTCAATTCTTTTCTCATTTGTTATTGGAGCAATATTTTTAGAGATGAAGAACGTAACAGTGCCAAAATCCTTTTTGGTATTGTCGGAAAAAAGTGGAAGAGGAAGAAGAATCCCCGCGAGGATTCGAATCACCTGCACTCCGGAAGTGTTCGTCGTCGCCGGTGTTCTTCAACGCCTTCAAGTTGATCTCATCGATGTCGTCGGGGTTCAACTGCACATTTTCCTTCTTCAAGTGCATAATTTCCATTTTTTGAGTGCATATATAGTTACCTTCTTCTACATATTGTCTCCCTAGCTTCTAGTGCATATTGTTTTCCCTTAAATAATTGATCAATTAAGTCACGGGCCCATTAAACTCGGAATCCATGATGAACACCACATGCATTGATCCCATCCATACAAAATGGTTTTACCTGCACAAGACCATTGAATTGAATTGAATTCTCGAATATGATGAAATTCACAGCAAAATTGAAGGAGAATGGGCTAGGAATGATCACGCAACAGCAAAATTGAAAGAGAACGGGTTGAGAATGATCGCGGAAGCTTACGTAAAAATTTTATTTTATGAAATGAATGGTTCAACTTATTTTGATTTTAGTATTTGTTTTATATTCTTACTTTACCCTCTATTATATTATTTTCTTTTCTTAAATATCCATGCATTCTGTTAGTATAAATTTTAGTAGCAAAATATTCTGTTAACTATTTATTATTTTAACTTACTCATTAATTTCTATAAGAAAGGTTTTAGTTTCGAACCTCATCCCAATCAGAGTTGACATAATTGTTGAACATATACTTCAAATATGTTAAAGTGTATTAAAAATACAATATAAAATTTAACACGAACTTTGGTTAAATAGTTAGCCCGACTAAATACAAAGCATTCAAAGTTGATCATTAAAGATTACAAATAAGGAACCTTGAAAATAATTTTCTTGCATTTTTTAAAAAAGTAAATTTAGGTTAAGTTTTTTTTTTTTTTTTTTTTTTTTTTTTTTTTTTTTTTTTTGGGTTTAATTAATCTTTCTTTGATTATATTTAGAACAAGACTCAATATTTTAATTATGTTTTTGCATTATTGATATGATTTAGGTCATTATAGTATTAATATTTTTTTTCTGTATTTCTATAATGGTACAATTGTAAATTACTTTACAAGGACAAAATTGTTCTTACATCATTATCAGACACTCAGATATGTGTGACCTAACTACAAAGTTGTTGATGAGAAATATAACTACACCTGGACTCTAAATGGTATGACCATTGTCCAAAGAATTGACAATGTTGACACTCAACTAGCTCTAATTGATCAAGTTTATACATCATTCTTGGAATTTTATCAATGTATGAAAACTTCTAAAGAAATTTGTAAGTTAATTTTTACTATATCATTATAACAATATCTATTGTAAGTTTGTAACCATATGTTTCGAATTATTTATTGATAGCAATTGTAGCAATTGTCATTGACAAAATATCAAAACAATTTGTCTCAACAACGAATGAAAATAAAATAAAAAATCAATGACTTCATTGTTGTGGATGAAAAGTAAGTACCACACCCTATTACTCTTATTAAATTAAATAAATTAGTAGATACAACCAAAAATTATATATAGGGAAAATTGTAAAAAATGCCCCTATATAATATGTCAATTATCAATGTCACCCCTGAATTATGAGTGCTGTAAATGTTGCCCCTCAATTATCAAAATGGTGCACATATAGCCCCTCCCGTAACGGACCTGTGGTTCCCCACCGTTGTCCATCGCTGGTACTTCGAATTGAGGAAGGGAAAAAACAACTACATTATATATTTACTCCGACTTAACGGTGTCGTACACTAACAGGGAACCACATGTCCGTTACGGGAGGGGCTATATGTGCACCGTTTTGATAATTGAGGGGCAACATTTACACCACTCATAATTCAGGGGTGACATTGATAATTGGCATATTATAGAGGGGCATTTTTTACAATTTTCCCTTATATATATATATATATATATATATATATATATATATATATATATATATATATATATATATATATATATATATATATATATATATATATATATATATATATATATATATATATATATATATATATATATATATATATATATATATATGCATTTCTCTAATTTAGAATTAGATGTCAACAATGACTTTATTAAAAAAAATAGAGTTAATACCTATTTTGGTCCTCTGACTATAGGTCATACTAGATTTAGTCCCAGACTGTTAAAAGTACATACCCAATTTAGTGTTCTAACTTTTAAAACGATACCATCCAATTTGGTCCTCTGTTACAATTGTCATCTATCCACCGTTATTTTGAGGAACATAAACGTCCTTTTATTAGATAAAGCACATTGAAGATCAGCCCTTTTGGTGCTAAGAATGTCGCTGTCAGGGAGGAAGCAAAACATGGAGATTTCTTCATCATCTTCTGGGTCAGTGAAGCAAAAATTACATTTTGGACTGTTTGGAGAAGTGATTCAAATTCTCCATTGTAATTGCGGTAATGAGTTAACCCTTCAAACTTCATGGACTTTTAATAATCCTGATTGAAGATTTTGAAATTGTGTTGGTATCAATTTAAGCAATTAGCATTACTTTAGCAATTAGCATTACTTTAGCAATTACTTTATTTCTATATCTTTAGATGTTTGTTGGCAAGCAGATTTGGTTCACACATTATTACAGTTGTGTTGTTTTTTTTTTTTTTTTCTTTTACGATTCAAACCAGAATTGTGTTGGCAAGCAGATTTGGTTCACAATTTTCTTTGTGTTGTTGTTTGTATTTATTTATTAATTTATTTAGAATGGTTCACAAATGTCTTTTAGTTATTTATTTAGAATTGTTGACAAATTTGTTTTTCATAAATACATACATGGGCATGCACTCATGTGGGTCTTTTTATTGGTTTGATCCTCTATGTTCAGGGTCGAAGAAGATCATTCCCGAATTGTTGAAGAGGATGAATCAAAATGAGGAAGAAATTGAGAGGCTCAAAACATTATTACTGTGAGTTATAATTAATTTAGAATATGATTAGTTAGAGGTTATTGTAGTCAAGCATGACTTTAGCTTAGTTATTTATTGTATAGGATTAGTTACACTTGTATTTGTAACTTATATTATCATGTTTAAGTTGAATTAGAATTTCAAACCTTAATCATTACGAAGTGCAAATGGTCCAAAAAAGTATTGTACTGGCAAATGACTAAAATGGTGCAAATGGCTCAAAGCATTGTTCTTGGTAGCAATAGTAGTAATGATTAATGTCATGGCAAAGAAATGTGGGAATGACGTGCTTCTGGTCGGCAATAGTACAAGTTTGATTATTTCGCGTATAGGCCATGCATCTATTCCATCTTTGTCTGTTTCAAAGTCTCTAAACTTATGTAATATACTCCAATGTGCCTGATTTATTTGTGTCGTTACTGTCTGTTCAAAGATTTACAAAAGAAAATAATGTATTCTTTGAATTTCACCTGAATTATTTTGTTGTGAAGGACTGCCTCACCAAGGGGGTGCTTCTTAAGGGTTTCAGTTCAGGTGGTCTATACAAGCTGTTAGTCCCCCAGTCACATTTGGCATTCATTACCGCCCGTACCTCGCCCGTGGTGTGGCATCGCAGATTGGGTCATCCACACGCTGGTGTCCTACAACGGGTCTTACAAAACTGTCCGATCACCGTCAACAAATCTGGTTCGTCGGGGTTATGTTCGGTTTGTCATCTTGGCAAATCCTCCCGGTTTCCCTTAGATAGAGTTAATTATTCAAGTAATAATGTTT